AAGCTGTATTCAGAATTCTATAATTAGTTTTATCTAATTTCTAGAATTACACTCAAACAATAGGTTAATACTCATTGTATCCTCAAACTTCACCATTAAAACCATAATTTACTCATGTGTCAGTGGTTGGTGTTTGAGTGAGTAGTTGCTGTTTTACATGAGTGAGCAGCAGAAAAAAAGCACTAAAAATGCTTTATCCTACCAACTAATTTCAAATCTAAGAAGGAATCAGTATAATCAATGGAGTCCAGTGCCCTTCCCCAGAATTGTGATAACATTAGATTACCTGTAATATAGCTGGTATGTTTGTTCTTTTTATCTATGGCAATCAGTTCATTATTGAGTTCTAGAAGAGAGCATAAAGATATGTACTGCATTATATCACCAAAGAAAATTATGGATACCCTCAAGCATAATATGATGTCATTCAATGAGAGTCTCTGATCTATTTCAATTTTGTTTGTCGGTGAAATCGCTTTTAACTACATCTGACCAAATACCTATATGCAAGTCACATTCAAGCAGCTTTTCTCTGACAGGAATTGACAACAAATTAGAGCTTAGAAAAAGTGGCCTATAACATGAATTTTGATTGGTTGCTGATCCTACGAGGGGTGTTCAATAAGTAATGCCCCTGACCCACTTCCAGTTGTCTGATCTAGATGAAATGATCTAGATGTAATGATTTACATCTCTATGGGTTATGTTGCAAAATACAGCTCTGAACTAATTGTGGTTTCTGATTTACAGGTGAACTGAATCAAGTGTGAAATGGAGCCAGTTGAGTGTCACGTAGTGATCCGTTTTTTGTATTTGAAAGGACGCACACCAAAGGAGACTTTTGATGAAATGAAAGAAACTTATGGTGATGATGCCCCATCATATGACCTTGTAAAACGCTGGCATCGTGAATTCAAACATGGTCGGAAGTCTGTGGAAACAGCTCCCAGACCTGGTCGTCCCTCTTCTGCCATTGATCTGTTCGTCAAGTTGAGCTAGCCATTTTGGATGATCAACGCATTACTGTTCGCCAAATAGCCCAAGAGGTCTAGTACAGGGTCTGTGGAAACTATCATTCACGACCATTTGCATATGCATAAGGTGTCTGCCAGATGGATTTCCGGGTTGCTCACACCTTTCCAGAAGCAAGAATGCGTTGAGTGCTCGAGGATGAATTTGGAGATGTGCCAAGAAGATGAGTCAAAGTTTTTCAAAAGACTGATTACACAGGATGAAACTTTGGTCCATCACTATAATCCAGAGACCAAAGCCCACTCAATGCAGTGGAAGCACTTGGACTCACCACCTCCAAAGAAGGTCATATTCACAGTCTTCTGAGATCAGGACGGAGTACTGATGACAGATTTCCTGGCAAAGGGTACCACAATTACAGGAGCCTATTATGCTTCACTTTTGATGAAACTAAGAGAAGCTATAAAAATCAAGAGGTGGGGCAAGATCAGCAAAGGTATCCTCCTCCTGCAGGACAACACTCCAGTTCACAACTCGCATGTCGCCAGATCAGAGGAACAGGCATGTGGCTATGAAATCCTCCCCCATCCCCCTTACTCTTCTGACCTTGCACCCTCTGACTTTCATCTCTTCCCAGCCATGAAGTTGTTTTTGAAAGGAAAGCGTTTCCCAGATGATACAGCCTTGATTTCTGAAGTTATGATGTGGTTGGAGGACCAACCTGGGGTGTTCTACAAAAACGGTGTCCAGAGCTGCATCAAAAGATGGGAGAAATGCATAACTCTGGGTGGTTCCTATGTATAGAAAGACTAATAACTGTGCCAAGTTTCATTAATCTCCTGCTATGGGAAATGGGTCAGGGGCATTACTTATTGAATGATCCTCGTACATGACCCAAAATCATCTTGCATAGGTATATTTGGGCAGACATAGATATTAGATACAATGTACACCAACTACCAGAATCAAAAGTAACAGCACTTGATGTTTTATCAATGATAGATTAACACATGAATAAACCTCTTCACAACCAGTTCCCTTTTTTCATCACAAATTCACAAAATAGTCCCATTTTGTCTTTTGGCTCCAAAATTGGGGTTCATTTCAAGGAATATTGATTTAATCATAGCAACCCCCCCCCCCTTCTGTATCTACATGTACCAGTATATAAATTCTCACCTTGACCTTGACCATCTAAAAATGCCTTGACAATATTAGTGGTGTTCTCGTAGCTATTGTCATTTAACAAGGGTCTTTGAGATCTCAGATACCTTTCACATGTTACATCTAGTTTGGGTATCGGAAGTCTTGGTAGACTGGCTTGGAAATGCATTGTGGGTACAATACTTTGCTGCAGATATTCATAAGGAAGTGATGAAGAGCTAAAACAAATTAATTTGGCAATTAACATCCTGGTACAATTAGGGTGCGTCTATGTTACAATATCAACTGGGATATACAGTGTATTAAGGTAATTGTGGACATTCAACCTAAAATAAGAGCAAAAAAATGATCATATTTTTTTGTTTTAAGTGTTACATAATTGTTGATTCAGACACAAGTTATAAACTATTGGTTTTCTTTTTAATACAGTGCAAGAGAATTTGTTTGGGGGAAAATCGTCCGAAAACATGGAGCTTTTATCAAGCTTTGTTGTTTTTTTAAGAAATTCCACCATGATAAAGGCACTGTATATGCATATATACAATAAGCAAACTGAACTAAAGTATTTGCTCCATTAGAATTGCATCTTCATTGAAAGCACATGAAAACAGTTGAATTTATTGTTTACTAGATTTATATTACAATATGCATTGTTTTAAATATAGAGACACTTCAAATGTACTACAAAGTGAACAAATACTGTTGTATCTTTCAACATGTCTAATGTGAACTTACCTATAATATTGATTCAGTGTTTCATTTTTGTAACACCTCGGGACCTGAAAATACTAACATTAAATTATAATAATTGTTAATTCAGCAATTAAGGATTAAGCAATATTAATTTTGTTTGATTTTCTCAAAAGTCAGCCATTGAATACATTACATCAAAACTGTTCAACACTGGTTGTAATGTATTTTAATATGTCATAACAGATAAAATTGTATCGATTGATTTCACTAGTCCCAAGCAAAAGATACATGTACCTGATGAAACACAGTTAGTTTTATATTGGATGGAACTAATTTCAATGGATAAGGTTTTAGCAATCTACCAGTTTGTTACAACACCAAAATCTGTTATCGTATGTTTCTAGACAGAGTAGCAGTAGGTAAGATTTCATCAACTGTCATAGAATAATAATAACTTTATTACTCTACCAAAAACCTTCAGAGGGTTTTTGTATGGTAAGGAATATAAATACAAAGAAATACAAAAAACGTACAATACAAAAATGATATAATAAAAAGTAAAATATGGATGCAT